CTTGCTGCTTAAGATAAAAGTATCCAATAACGAGTTATTTATACCAACAGATATTTTATTGTAACAGGATGTAACCTCGACTTGCTGCTTAAGATAAAATTATCCAATAACGAGTTAATTATACCAACTGATATTGTATTGTAACAGGATGTAACTTGACTTGCTGCTTAAGATAAAAGTATCCAATAACGAGTTAATTATACCAACTGCTGTTTTATTGTAACAGGATGTAACTTGACTTGCTGGTTAAGATAAAAGTATCCAATAACGAGTTAATTATACCAACATATATTTTATTGTAGCAGGATGTAACTCGCTCTTAACGATACTATTATTATTACTCATAGTTATAAGCTCAACAGCTCAGAGTACAACGAAGCAGGCACGTAACAGTTGAGTTGGTATTTCAGAATGCCTCAAGTATGGGCCGCGAGTCAACATCAGAAGTTATCGATTTAATGTAACGATTCCCGACCTTTTATTAAAGATTTGTGACCGATTACGGTCTATGGAAGAAAACATTTCAAAGCGGAAAAGCCAATTTCTCACTTCCCACACCCACTTTCTGCAAACGAATCCACGAAAGAAATGTGACGACATCGTATAAACGTATACTATTAGCTAGCAGTCGGGGTAGCTGTGTTTAATTGTGAAATGAAAATCACAGATCCTTCTGCTCAGTCGAAGCTTCCTCCCCTGATCGACAGCGCAGGTTGAACGACCCAGCCAGAACGCGGAAGGTGCATCATTTCTTTCCTCCTCTCGGTCAAGGCTAGAACGTGAGCTACAAGTCCCGAACTAGGTAACATATTGTCCAAGTTAGAGGACAAGGAGCTGCCTCGAGCCAACTTCTGGAAAACTGGTTACATAATAATAATTTTCAAGAACGCCTCTCATTGAGTTCACGGCCAATCGTAGACGTTCAGCAATTTTTCGAAGTAGTCATGTTTCTGCTCTTTGCTCGTTAGTATCATTATTATTTAGGATCGCTTTCGAAGAAGAAGGGTCTTTCCAAGCAGAATTATAGTAAATTGAAGGTAAGAATCTCAGAAGTTTAACTTTGAATTTATTGATACTTTTTAACACTAAGTCAGCCATCTTCAAAAACAACAACAGCTGATGTTGAATGAGACAATTTTTGTATTTGAAGCTAATCTGTATATTAAAACACGTAACTTAAGGTAGTAGCTGTGTGTAACCGTTATATACCTTTCACCATTAACATTTAGCGCCATAAAATATCAAAAAATATTTTCAACTTCGTAGGAAATATTTTATGTGTTTATAAATTTTTCTTGCGATCTTCATATTTTTTTATTTAGTTTTGGACGAGGAATGTGACAGGAGTTGTTACACATTAGGTTTTAGTTTCTTTATTGGCACCACTAAATTCAGCACGAAACTTACCATTTGACTCCTCCAACCAGATTCTTAAAATGGAAAAATTCTGTATAATAATGTAACTTATTTATATAAATTTTGAACAAAATGACCATCGATATAATGTATTCAAGTTGTGCTTTGTCTCCTTTAGGGGCAAAAAATTGGGGTTTGATCCCCATGGGGGACACGGTACTGATGATCTATTTGCACTAAAATCAAAATTTACAGAAAAGTTCAGCAGTACATACCAATCAACAAAATAAATTTGTTTATGGTAAAGCCACTAAGATTACCTGGTGCCGTTCCTTTAAAATACTGACAGCGAGTCAAGAGTACCCTACCGCCGACGATAATAGAATGTAATATTTGGTAGAGTCGAAAGGACTCGAACCAGGCTTACACCCGCTAATTCCAGAGCTTTGCTAAAGACTTTCAAAGAGCCAACAAAATAAATATATAAGCACTTAAGATTTCCAGGTGGCGTCGTATGCACGTTATTTTTTGCGTATTCCTTCTTGAAAAGATATCGACAGTAAAAGACTAATTTTTCAAGTAAAATAAATTTCATTGTAGTCCTGTTTTACCTGTTAATCTTTCTTAAAGAAAATGGGAGGGAGGGGGAGAGATCGTGTCCTTGTACGTTACACTATAGTAGCATCTTACCAATTAAAATGTCTTTAATGGAGGATTGTATTATGATTAATTCTAATATTTATTTTAAATCTATCTTTATCCCTCTGTTGTAAAATATTGTGAAAGAAACGTTTTCTTTGAATTTCCTAATTATATAGTGTTTTCGTGAAACATATTTTAGTAAGTTATAAATGGATACGTTACCTAGAGCTTATCATTGGTCAATAATAACACGATTTATTTTGACTGTTGCCTGGAGCATTGAACTATAAAATTGAAATATTTGTATAAGTTAATCGACGAAGGTAAATTTGTATGTTATAATGTGAAATAGATGTAGGTTAAAAATATCATTAGCTCTAACTACGTATTGGACTGTGAACTACTAATTTTCCCGAAAGGGGGCCTCAGGCCATCTGGAGGGGGTCACCTGCTTTAACCACTCGCACCCCTACACATTAATGTGTTATCTGTTCCTTAGTCAGTGGACACTAAAATGCCGTCACATGAAGGACATCAGTAAAACGTGCGCATGCTGTGAATCGTGAGAAGAATTGTGCACTCTGTGGGCTACAACACAGCGTGACACATAAACTATTAAAGCAAGAAATAATAAAATATTTGTTATTCTTAATTTTGGTTTTATTTACTCTTGAAATAGAACACTTTTGGGGATTCGGGGAAAGTACATCTAGTAATTAGATCTGTTTTCTTTTTGAACTATAACGACTACCCTAATAACTAGAAGTAATAACGACTACCCTAATAACTAGAAGTAATAACGACTACCCTAATAACTAGAACTAATAACGAATATCCTAATAACTAGAACTAATAACGACTACCCTAATAACTAGAACTAATAACGACTACCCTAACAACTAGAACTAATAACGACTACCCTAATAACTAGAACTAATAACGACTATCCTAATAACTAGAAGTAATAACGACTACCCTAATAACTAGAAGTAATAACGACTACCCTAATAACTAGAAGTAATAACGACTACCCTAATAACTAGAAGTAATAACGACTTACCCTAATAACTAGAACTAA